GAGAATGATGAAATGATTATGGGCAAGTACAGAGTACTTTGCTGCACAGTGGGATTTTTTTTCTTCGTTTCTTTCGTTCATTCCATTCCTTCGGATAAAATAATTTTGGCTCAGGTTTAAAAAAAGAATGTGTATTGTTTCATCATTCAAACTGATCGGATGATAGCTCGCATTCTTGAACATTTGTGAAACACTTAACTAAAAAGATATTTCTATTTGTAAATAGTCGAAGAAGGACAATTTGTTTTTGTTATAGTCCAGAGAATTGTGATAGTTTGACTTTCAAATATTTTCATCAACGAGCCGAATTTTCAATTTGAAACATTCAAAATGATTTCAGAAATCTGGTAAGTTGAATATTTTTGATTGAAATTTGAATTTTTCGGTGAAATTCAAACCAATCTCATATATTTTACACACAATAAATACCAAAATCATTATTAATTTCAGGATGTTGTTGCTGGTAACATCAATTTTCGGTTTTATTCCATCATTGACATCGTATAGTGTTTACATTCATGACAAACCTTTTTCGTCGATAGACGCCATAAATATTTGTAAATGCAAGTATTTAACAAAAATTAATGTTACAAACAGTTCTACAAAATTATTGCCCAGTCGTTTTTTAGTGAACTGTCATAGTTTAGAAACTTTGATTCTATCGAAGAACGAAATTATGGAAATTACACACGACACATTCAATGATTTATCTAATTTGTTAACATTAGATTTGTCTAGAAATCACATCACCACTTTACCTAAAGACGTTTTCAAACCGTTAACTAATTTAATAATTTTAGTATTGAATCGAAATCGAATTGAAATGATTGATTCCAATCTATTTTTACACAATCAATATTTATTTCATTTAGACATAAGTGATAATAACCTGAAAACTATTGAACCAAAATCATTTCGTATGTTAGAATATTTGTATTTTTTGAATATGTACAATAATCCTAGTTTAAATAGCACTGATTTTTTGTATGATGACCGATATGTTCCAAGTTCTATAAATATGGCAAATTGTGCGTTTACACAACTTTTTATTC